TAATATATTGATTAATACAATTCATTATATACATCTATTTTAAACATTTTAATCAATAAAATTATTTTATTGAATGCTATTCATATAGAAATAGAATTATAAATGAATCAAACTATTCATAAACCATATGAGGTTCCACTCAGTAAAAGCTCAGCTCAATTTGAGTTGGTTTTCTAAACAAAATAAGCTTGAACAGAATTTTAAATTCGTTTAATTAAATGAATCAAGTTTGAGCACGAGTTGTTTGGCTCAATAAAACTAACAAACTATCCTATTTGTGAGGTGCGTGAACATGCTCGTGAACGGATTTGTTTAGTAACTTCGTGAACGGGCTTATTTACAAATTTATTCACAATTATTTTATTTTATTATAAGTGTACTATTTTTAATAGACTCAAACTCAAATTTAATATTTTTAAACGAGATGAGCACGAGCTTTAAAATATGAGTTCAAACTTATATATATATGGAGATGGCTCGAAGACCGTGCCCCAAGAAAAAAAAAAGAATTATTTATAAAATATTATATTTTGATCCTTTAAAATATTTAGCCCTTAAAAATTTTAAAAATTTTCGTTTGAGTTTCTAAAATAATTATCCAGCTCTGTTCCTGATACACACACATATGTATATAGGCAACATTATTTAGTGATTTATAAGTTATAGATTATAATGAATAAAAAAATATTTAAGAAAAGTACAAATGTAATTTAAAAATATATCCTAATTCAATTTTCATTCATGAATATCGAATATAATAATATCAAATTTCCTTACAAAATAAAATATTTTTAAATATAATAATATAATAATTATTTTTTTTATTTGATTGTGGTTTTATAATAAATAGACACGTAATCCTATGTACAATTATAATTAGAAAGACATGGTTATAATACTAGTTGTCCTTATACTAGTTGTCGTTGTTATTATTATTATTTCTGATTTGGTTTAACATAATGTATTTTTTTTTAAAGTTTTATAATATAGGTTATTCTGTATTTCATTATTAATAATTAGTAATTTTTTATTAAGTTGTATGCATATGTAGATGAAATTTATTATTATGATATAAATATATTTATGATTATAGGTTATTAGGTTAAGTTGAATATATTAAGAGATTGTATATATATTGATTAATTATCTTATTATTAAAATATTAAATATAATAAGAGATAATGAATTACCAATTTTTTAATATCATATTCACAGTATCTTAACATGCATTGATAAATAATGATAAAATTTTTGTTTTAAATAATAAAATATGATAATTTTTTAAAACCAAATAATATATCCAAAAATAAAAAATATATATTTATAAATTTATTATTCAATTCAATTTAGGTTTAATTTGATTCCAATTCAGTTTTCGTTCGATTTTTTATAAGAATCATAAATTTTTAGATTCGATTTTAATTTAAGTTTGTATAAAGGTGATGTTATTTTCAGAGCATAGATTGTTAAAGTCAGAACAATATTTACTATTTTGACAAAATTACCCTTCTATTTTCAATTTCGTATCATATATCACCCTTTTTATTTATTTCAATAAAAGAATTGCATCGTTGAGTATTCTTTTGAAGCTAACGATCTTAAATAACTGTAAATAGCGGGCAGATTGAACATAACTAAAATTCACATATTCAATATGAATCCCAACTGATTAATTGGCCAAGGTACCCCAAAATATTTAGTTGGCAATTTTGCTCAAAAATCATACCATGATTAGATCCACAACCATGGACGGAGGAGCTAAGTGAGTTTTTAATTAGCTTGCGACCATGGACAGCTGCTGCAGTTAGGAACATCATCTGAAGGATAACGACGAGAGTGAATGATAGAGAGATGGAAACAGTCAGAATTAGAGAAGCGAGAACCAATAGAGATTAATTGAAGGTACTTTGGCAGATGTTGAAGAATGGTGGATTTGGAGAGAGATAGTGAAAGAGAAAGATTCACATATTCAATATGTGAATCCCAACTGATTAATTGGCCAAGGTACCCCAAAATATTTAGTTGGCAATTTTGCTCAAAAATCATACCATGATTAGATCCACAACCATGGACGGAGGAGCTAAGTGAGTTTTTAATTAGCTTGCGACCATGGACAGCTGCTGCAGTTAGGAACATCATCTGAAGGATAACGACGAGAGTGAATGACAGAGAGATGGAAACAGTCAGAATTAGAGAAGCGAGAACCAATAGAGATTAATTGAAGGTACTTTGGCAGATGTTGAAGAATGGTGGATTTGGAGAGAGATAGTGAGAGAGAAAGAATTGGGTTCAAAGTCCATAAGAAAAAAAAAAAATTTAAAATGGAGATAATGGAGTAAGGCAAAGTGATTTTTAATTGAAGAAACGGATGGTGATAATATAAAAAAAGAAAAAGGAGTAGATTAAAATGGAGAACAGGAAGATCTAGAGAGTCCATTTAAATTCAAAGTTACATGTATCATCACCTACAAAAATTTTATTCTAAAAACAGAGTAAAAGAACAGTGCAATGGAGATGGCCTCTGTGTTAGAGAAGGATAAATTACCAATAGAAGAAGTCCATTTAATTTTTATTTTGACCAATAGAAAAATAATTCCTTATTTAGAATAAATGAATTTTATAAAGTAGAATTTATTTATAAATTCAAATTTTTTTGTTTGATATAAAAAAAAATGAAAGATTAAATTTTATGAATTCAATTCTATGATTTGAATATAACTAAATCAAATTATAAGGTAGAATTTTCAAATAAATTTCACAAATTTAAACAATCCAAAATTTTATGAGAAAACTCTCCATCCTCCAAACATTCTAAATTATAATGTCAATGATATTTAAGAATAAAAATAAATGAATTTTCAATATTTGAATTTATTTAAAACATGAAAATTCATTTATAAATGAATTCCACATTTTGAGTTTATTTATAACAAACGGACTTAAAATTACACATATTAAACATTATAATTTATAAAATTATTTTATTGAACATTTAAATTCATAAAATTTTATCAACTGAACACCTATTTGATAGTTAAAATTATATTGCAAAAGTTGTGCTAACCACGTATCAAAAATTAATATTTTATATATAATTCTAAAACACTCTAAGATGATGTTGTTAATACGGAAAGGTACGCTGTGTTAATAAAAATTTATAAATTTAAGAGTAAAATAAGTCTTTCTCAAAATTCATGGTGACGTAAAATTAAAATAAAAGGTTAAAGGTGAATTTAAATATTTGACTGAAAAAGATTTATCTTATGTACCAAATGATAAATGAGAATCTTGTATCAATTTCATAAATATTTCTAATTATATTATGTAATCATTGCTATAGTAATGCGCTTCTATTTGATTAACATTTATCAAATTGTTGACGACTTTTGTAGTAAAAAAAGAAAAAATTACAACTTGTAATTTCCCATTATTCATACCCTATAAAGAAATTGAGAGGCCAATCAATCACGTCTGGTTGGCTGACATTGCCGTTAGATGGTATAGGAAACAAGTTAATGTAGGAGCTCATTTCATTGCTCGGGTTTCTTATCATCACGCTCGTTTTAAATTGTGAGATTCTATTTCGCAATATTTTTTACCTTTTATGATGTTTAATGCAAACATATGATTTTGCTTTCAAAAAGAATTTCGTGAAAACAAAACTCAAATATTTTCCAAAAATTATAATTATGCACATATCTTCTAAAATATATTATTTTACTCTAATATTTAAAGAAATGTTGCAATTATGTCCATATGACCATAGTTAAAACGAAAATGTAATCCTATTATACCTATTATTTTTGTTTTCAATGACTCGCTAAACTTTTTTATACCATAAGTATATCACTACCTTTTTAATTGCAAACAATTGACGGTGTAATTTTGATTAAATGTGTACAATTATAATGGACTTTGAACGTTCAAATAAAATAGTATATTTTGAAATTTTAAAAATTTAAATTATTATTTTATAAATAATTTTTGATTTTTTTGTCATTAGCCTTTTGATTTTATAAAAGACATATTTGAGGTAAATATTGTGAAAATAATTCATCAAATTATGGATCATAGATTATAATAATAGTTAGAGCGTCTTATCCAATGATAATTATAAAATATGATTATTTAATGGTAGGCATTAGGGTCAAATCTTATAATAGTAATTCTAAATTTTTAAATTGTTTTAAAAAAATCAATAATCTTACTAATCAAACACGTCAAAAGAGAAATTCAAACACCAATTGCCAAAGTATATTTCTCACCTGCTGGCAGTGGCTGCTTCCTACACTCTTGAACTCTTTGTATAACAAGCCTAATATTTTCCTTTTAGTTTGTACAAGCCATACCACAAAGCTCCAAATCCAATATTTCAAAAAACAAATTAAATTAAAAATTTTCAATAGTTTATTTGTAGTAAGGCCTCGAAGTGGGCCGGGTGGGTCCCGGATCATCGGAAAAACCATAAACAAACCCGATAATATTTTTTTTCCCCAAAAAGTAGGCTAACGTAACAGACGGTTATTTTGAGACGTGTCCTCACCTCGTCGATGACAGCCAACACGACTTTTCTCCCACGACGCTCCTCCTCCATTCCATCGTCATTTCTGTACAGCAGCAGATAATTTACAATACTCTCTTTCCTGCTTTATTAGCATTCCCGAATTAAGAAGGTTATTTTGGTAAATTACCTTCTCCTAATTTACCCAACCGACCTGGCCCACCCTAGTCAGGAAGTATTAGAGGCTAAAAAATTAAAATTAATTAATTTTGCTTAATCAATTTCCAACTTGTCCTGATCCCCACCCGCTGTTATTCCCGCTCATTTTTATTGCCTTAATTTCAAAATCTCCCTGCTTCGCGGGTCCATTTTACTTGCTTTAAACTCTCATACCCTCAACTGCCACGTCACCTCCTCCACCATTATTCCCATTTTTTTCTTAACCACCTTAAAAAATTTTTTTTTTTAAATAAACAAAGTTTGACAAAAAAAATAAAAAAAATAAAAAAACAAAGCCTATCGTTCTCATTTCTTCGTCCCTCTCTCTCTGGTCTATTAGAAATCAAATCTCTTCTCTCTTACTCTCTGCAACCCTTTGTCTTAAAGAAGAAGAAACAATCTCTCTCTGTAGCTTCAGTGGCTTAAAGTATTATACTAGCAAATAAAGAAACCGCAATGTTATTCGCTTTTGTCTGTGAAGCCATGTGACTACACTGACTCATTCTTCACTTCTTCTTCTTCTCTTCGGTTCTGGCTTTATAGTCCTCAACCGAGTCTCTCATTGACTCACTGAGTCAACGCGACTCGAATGGCCTCTTCCTCACGAGCTCGGAGCAGCTCCCCATTTTCCTATCGGAAACCGTCTACTCCTTACTCTTCCTCTTCTTCAGCTTCTTCTTACGTTAGCAACAGATTAATTCCTCGTTCCTGCTCTTCGGTTTCTTCTTCGTATTTCAACTCGGGAGGCGGACTTGGTTCCCGATCCATGACTCCGAGTCGCTCTCGCTCGGACTCAATGTGCTACGGTCAGCGCAATTACGGCAATCGCACTCCTGTCGGGTTTGGGACGGAGGACTTTGTTGCCGAACCGATTGATGCGCCGAGGAATGGAGATAGTATTTCGGTGACGATTCGGTTTAGACCGTTGAGGTAATTGTTAGATCTGGGTGTAGTGGAACAGATCTATTGCGTTTAAATTTGAATCCGTTTGGCTTGTTTTATGAGGTGATGTGGATGAGATTCGCTTGGTTACAGTGAAAGAGAGTTTCAGAGAGGAGATGAGATCGCTTGGTATGCTGATGGAGATAAAATTGTTAGGAATGAGTATAATCCAGCAACTGCTTATGCATTTGGTGATTCTTCTTCTCCATTGTAATTGGATGGAATTAAATTATATATAAGTAAAGACGAAACAATATAGAAAAACAAAGTCTCTCCTGATATCGTTTCTTCATTTTCCTCTGGTACTCCTTTCACTTTCTTCTCCTCTCGATCTCTATTTAGAGCTTGGCAGAAATCGAAATCTTCCTTCTCCTCTTTACTCGTCAGTGCAAAAATGCAACACTTTGTCCTTAGAATGTAAAAATCCCGAAGAAAAATAACAAATTTTCCTTGGCAATGCTTGCCTTCTGTTAGCTATGCAGATTTGGGCCTTTTCTTTAAAGTATTGACAAAGTAAATATAAATTTTTATTGATCTTAAATCTAAAGAAAAAACTCGAATTAGCTCAATGTTAGTATTTCGCCATGTTTTTTCTTGATCTGTGAAATGTGTCCAATTATTCCAACCGCTTGGAACTTTCCTGAATGTCATCTCGGAAAACTTTGTAAATCTGTAATAAATTCATTTGTCATCATCTATTTCACTTTACTTCACCCTTACTTAATTCCTTGTCGAAAAGTTTTCTTCTTCTCATTTTTTCGTCCACTAGTGACTCAATAATATTCACCGATAGTCTCCTCAGTGGCTCACTGACTTATAAAATGTCTCACACGCGGAAGCATAATCTTCTGTACCTATTATTGAGTCTCCTAAACTACTTCCTTTCACTCATGGAGGCTCGAAAGATGTGTTCAGGGCGTCCCTCATTGTAATTTTTTCTAATTCCACTCGTAGAAATGAAAACCGTGTTGCTATCCTAATGACTAACTCCTTACTCTTACCTCCCTTCCTTTTTTTTTTTTTTTTTTTTTTTTTTTTTTTTTTCTATTTGGCTTCTGTTTTAGATTCCTTTTGGTGTTCTGGGACTGGAATATTCTGCTATGCATGTCCTTTTCGTTTGGCCGTCGAGAAAATGAAGTAAATCAAAATAAATTTAATGGAGTTGTCTAAATGGCCGAAAAAGTCAAAAAATTTCTATTAAATTTTCGAAAATAATTGTCAGTCGTTTTCTGTATTAATCACTGGGACTTCTGTGTCTGGAAATTAAATCTGAAATATGATATTCATTTGACACAAATACTGATTTTCTTTTTTTGCCGACAATTTTTTGTGGCTTAATAAATCTGGAGTACATCTCCATGAACTTTTCTTCAACTTATTGTCCATGGATGGGCTTGATATCATCAGTAAATCCTGTTTGCTACATCAGCTACTCACTGATTGATTTTGCTTTTATGCAAACTTATCTGTATATATATGTTAAATTGCCAGTGGGTTGTCATCCACTGTTAAATCCTCTGCTCTGTTTTGTGATTCTGCTTCTCTGGATGTAATGATTGCATGAATAAACTAAATATATTAATTGATTGATTTATGTGCGTTCTCCTGATTATGTGATAGTGAAGAGAGGTAGCAATGTTTTATTTTTTTGGTTTGTGGAACTCGTATCTTTTGGTCATTTTAGACTCTCTCATTTGTTGTATTTATCTTTTGGGTTACTCATGTATAAAATGTTGTGTTGGAGCAGGAATAAAGGGATCTTATTTGTTGCAATTGATCAAAGCAGGCCCCTTACAGATCAAGGTCCTTTTGACATTGTGTTGCATAAGGTTAGGTTTTCTTTGTTTTTGTAAATTCTGCCATTGTACGTTATTGAATTCGTACAAGTGGTAAATGCTTTTAGAATTGCATAATTATCTTTTGTGTTCCTCAGCGAGTTTGTTGGACAGATCGGTTTTTAAAGAAATTTCCAGTGGGGAAATTTTTTAAAGGAGGAACTGACGCACTTATGCGAATTTATTGTTTATCTGTCTTTGCTTGTATTTATACAAACTATCTGTACTTTGCCATTTATAATGACTCTTATCTGACACAATATGTTTTCTTTTTCTGATTTCTAATGCAGCTGACTGGAAAGGAGTGGGGGCAAATTCTCGAGGTTGGTCCTTTTTTTGATTTCATAATCTCTCCATTAACATCATAAGCATCTGAATATTGGGGAAATAGATAAGTACGCTATCATGTTTGCTTGATGACTTAGATTTGATGTGACAAACAATATCTATCAACGCAGAGGATCAAATATCACCAACTTTTAAATGCTTAAATCTCATTCCTGTCTAACGTAATTTGCAGAGTTCTTGCTCCTTCCTCCTCCATGCTTCATGACTTGATAGTTGAGGTCGAGGCAGCAAGTGAGGGTTTTTTCTACTTCCATGACCATCTAGCTGATTCTTTCAGGTTTTCCTAAGCATTATTTCTGAATGTGAGATGGCTGCTGTGTTATGCCCTTTTATCGGCTGAATCTGAGATGGCATTCTCAATCCTAGTTCAAAATCTTTTGCACCCGTATTTTAGTCTTAGCTATTTCACCTTCTAGGATCAAACTTTCTGAAAAATTCTTCCTTATGATTCTTTCTTTGATTGCTGAAATCAGTCAGTACTTAAATGTGGTAGAAATACAAAGTTTCCTGCTTCAGCTGGATTGTGGTTTTGTGTTCTTAAATAAATGGCTAATTAACAAACGATTTTAATGCATTTTGGTCTAACTCGTAATATTGATCAAATGAATGGGTGGTATAATGTTTCCATGACTATACATGAATGGTATTTCAAGGTTGCTTCTTGCTCTAACCACGGTTGTCCATATTGTCATGCTTGAAATCTGCGTCATTTGCGAATATTTACATTTTTAAGGAAAATATGACTGTTTGACTACTATTATTCATTTTTGTATTTTCACTCTCTTGGCTATGTGGGTTCCTAAATAATTATCTGCTTGGCAATGTGCCAAGGTGAATGGGTTTCTTATTGAGAGAAAATGACCATTGTATGGAAGTTTCAATATTTACTAAACTAATTTTAATCATTTCCTGTTAATTAGAGTTTTATTAGGGGCAATGACTAGTGTTTGAACTTTTTTTCTCTTAATTCTAACTGGATATTTTTCACTTTCTAAATGTTGAAAATCGGCATTTCATCTGTGACGGGAAGTGCCAGTTATAAATATATGTTTCCTAATATTGATTTGTAAAGATTTTGTACCATTTTACTTAAAATAAGATTGTTAATGTGAAACAGAAGTGCCAGTTATAAATGTTGAAAATCGGCATTTCTTCTGTGACGGAAAGTGCCAGTTATAAATATATGTTTCCTAATATCGATTTGTAAAGATTCTGTACCATTTTACTTAAAATAAGATTGTTAATGTGAAACGGAAGTATGGTTCGTCGAAAACCGCATCCAAGTTGAGGGGTTGTTTAATATATCTATATTGGGGCTTGCAGCAGTACTTAGGGTCCCTCCGACATCCCCTCTTAGAGCAGTTTTCTTTAAGGGCTTTTATGGTCCAAACATGTCAAAAAATCTTGAAATTAATTTTAATTGCCTTTTAATCAACATGCTTTTAGTGGGTGCTTTTTTGAATAGCAACTGCAAAGACGCCAAACAAATCCTTTGTCTAGCTGGTGAGAACTGTTTTATGTTATGTTTACACTATCAATAATCTCCAGTGTTGAATAAAAATTTCTTATGGTCATATATTACATATACCCCCTGCCCCGGGTAAAAAGGGAAGAGATCAACCTAGAACTCTTTGTAGGGGAAATTGTTGCGAAGGATTTACGATCTCTGGATATTAGTGAGGATATAGCTATGAACAAAACAGAATAGAGATAAGATTCACGTAGTAGACCATAGTTAAAATATCTAATATCCATTGTTGCCTATTTTGTGTTTTGTTCTATCTATTAATATATCAAATGATTTTATAAATTTTCCTCCAAACATCTTTCTACAGAAACTATTTGATTTTTTTTTAACTGAACTTTACTTTGCATTGAGATTGATCCAAACGGTTATTGGAAAACAAAGAATTCATATAGCCGACCCCAACTAGTTTAGGACTATGGCTTAGTAGTTGTTATTGTTGTTGAGTAAGAATTTATGATGGTTGTACAAAACAAGTCAATGATACCTCCATTTGGTGAAATTACACGAGAACTAAGCAGAAATCTATGATTTTCTATTGGAGCTTCATATTTATAAAATTTCTGCATGGATAAGAGTTGTTCTGAGAATTGAAACACCAAGGCATAGATACTCAGTGTTCCATTTTGCTTACGGATTCTGTTACACTAGTCAAATCATCTCTGATATTTCTGATGTCATCCTGTTTCCAAGAATTATGAATCAGTTGCATCAAGCATAATGTTTCCCAGGCTATGCCTAGTAATGCCTTTGGAATTTAATGTTACAATCCTGTTTATATAATTAGGGATTTTCTTTAACCATGTCTATACTGCAAATTATTGCTGTCTTACAAGGTAACCTTAACTTTTCATTTTCATTGCCTTAAATTGTAGGACTACAGAAGGACGCATCCAGAAGTCACTGTTCTTGATCCTCCAGATGCTATTCAACATTTACACAATCGCCAGTCCATGCTTCAGTGTGTTGCTGATATGAATTTGTCAAACCCTTATGGTAATTTCTGATGTGATTTTCACAGATAATAATTGAGAAAGATTTTTCTGGAAATAGGCAGCATAGTCCTTGTGTCACTGCCCTTCCTTTCCTCTTTTCTTTTTTCACACCTCTAAAATGACTTAATAAATTATTATGCAGGGAGAGTTGATATTCCCAGGCAATTAGTTATAAAAAAAGATGCAGCATCCATCCCTGATGCAGTCATGAAAGCGGGGCTGATGCTACCCATTGGTGGGTATCTCTTGCACATTAATTTTGCTTGAGCACTACCCTTTTTGTGTTTTGCTATAGCTATGCATCTGTTTCTCTGTATATATGTAAGTTTAAATGACACTGAATTTGCTGTCGCAGATAAAGTATTTGGACCACACACTGCCTCTCAAGAGGTCTATGAAGTTGCTGCTAAACCAGTAGTCAAGGCTGCAATGGAAGGTGTAAACGGTATGTCAGATTCAGATTCATTAATGAATGAGAATTGATTAATCGTGAGTTGTTATAGCAAATCCTGTGGTTGAGCTGTGGATTTCTAAATTTCTGAGATCATAAAACTCGGATTTTTATTTTCCTTTTGACAATGCAGGAACGGTTTTTGCTTATGGTGTCACTAGTAGTGGAAAGACACACACTATGCATGTAAGTTTAGTCCTCTAGCTTATTTCTTTCTTTGTTTTTATTTTTTTTTTAAATGAGCATATGTGGCTTGGAGTCTTCGCTCTAAATGATCCAGTTATTATGGAAAGTTAGTAGAGCTTAGTTGTGAGGCTTTGAAAATGATGCAGCCTTGCTGTTCAGTGGAACTGATTAATTAAGCTACATATGGAAGTGTGCCGGACTTCAAAGCTAGGGGGCTACAGAAAAATTTTCAATAGTTAGTGGGCCAAATAAAAAAAAAAATGTTGGAGCTTGGGGGCTGTTATTCCATCTCTTTCTCTCTCTCTTTGATTTGTTGTTTAAAATATATGTGCAGGGAGATCAAAATTCTCCTGGAATCATACCATTGGCCATAAAGGATGTTTTCAGCATTATCCAAGATGTAAGTTTCATTCAATTTTTACCATCTTTGAGCTGTTGCGTGGTAATTCAAAACTACAACATAAAATGGTCAGTTGCATATTTTTCCATTATGCCTAGATATGTGTGTAGTTTCCCAATTTTACTTGGTAAAAATTTGGGTTCCCAATGTTGTGTACCTGATAGCTATGAGTTTTTCTGCGGCAGTATAATGCTATATGCATGTAACACTATTGACCGAAATGCTTTTCTTCATCCATAATCTTAAAAATTGTATATGTGAATTCATTTTCACCTACAATATTTTGAACATATGAACATTAAATTTTTGCCTGCAGCTTTATCATCTGTATCGGTACTGTGTTTTTTTTCCCCGGAGGAAGGCAGGGGGGGGGGGGGGAGGGAAGGCAGGGGGGGGGGGGTTGTCAACTAGCACTACATTGAACTACAGGGGTTTCCCTTGAACCATAACTAGCTTTATCTATTGCTTTTCTTTTTTTTTGTTATTCACTTCATCAGAGTGTGAGTGACTTATTGTGTTATGTGTACTGAATAGAATATTTTTCCTCCCGGTGGAGGGGGAGTTTGTCCCAACTAGGCAACTACATTGAAGTGACAGGGTTTCCCTTGACATAAACTAGCTTACCTATTGCTTTTTTTTTTTTTTTTTTTTTTTTTTTTTTGTTATTCACTTCATCAAAGTGTGATTGACTTATTGTGCTTTGCTTCAGGACTCCAGGAAAGAGAGGTTTCTTACTACGCCGTGTCTTATCTGAATAAACTTAACAATGAGGTTAGTGGCACCATATAGATAATGAATTGGAATCTTCAGGCAGGTTAAAGTCTTGAATTTTCATTTTTCTTTTTTCCTATGCATTATCATTAGTAATTGTTACTTTGGTTAAGAATTTATTTTGGTGAGAAAGTTATATGAAACTTGAATGCTTGAAGTTCTTTGCATAATTTGACTTATATGTTGTGCTTTCTTTTTTAATAAAAAAGTTAGTTTACATTAATTTACGCTCCATCTTATTATTTCAATGATGGTTAATCTTTATTTTTTTGTTTTCATACATATTTCTTCTTCATTGATTTAAATGACTTGCTTGATCCAACTTGGGTCAAAATTCCGTGTTAGAGAAGATGCACAGGTTGTTTTTTCTTTTAAAATTTGTGCCTTCAGTAATTTCTCTTGTCTTTGTCTCTGCCATGCACATAGAATGCAAAGTTGCTTCTCTTATTTAGTTCTCCTAATGAAATATTCTTGTTTTGTATGCATTGGTGGGATTGCTCATGTGAGGGAATATTTTTAAATATGCTACATGGCACACACCAACTGCATATACTATTTGGAGTGCAAATTGAAAATTGTTCTTAATGTAATCCTTTAACCTGAAAATTGTTAGTACTTGAATCTTATTCTCATGTATGTTGGTTTTGCCAATGCTTTCCACTATATGTTTTTGCAGGGCACTTATGTTGAGGGTATAAGGAAGCAAGTTGTTTTTTTGTTATTCACTTCATCAAGTGTGATTGACTTATTGTGCTTTTGCTTCAGACTCCAGGAAGAGAGTTCTTACTACGCGTGTCTTATCTTGAAATTTACAATGAGGTTAGTGGCACCATATAGATAATGAATTGGAATCTCAGGCAGTAGCTCTTGAATTTTCATTTTCTTTTTTCCTATGCAGTATCATTAGTAATGTTACTTGGTTAAGAATTTATTTTGGTTGAGAAAGTTTATATGAAACTTGAATGCTTGAAGTCTTGCATAATTTGACTTATATGTTGTGCTTCTTTTTTAATAAAAAAGTTAGTTTACATTAATTTACGCTCCATCTTATTATTTCAATGATGGTTATCTTATTTTTTGTTTTCATACATATTTCTTCTTCAGGTGATAAATGACTTGCTTGATCCAACTGGTCAAAATTTGCGTGTTAGAGAAGATGCACAGGTGTTTTTCTTAAAATTTGTGCTTCAGTAATTTCTCTTGTCTTTGTCTCTGCCATGCACATAGAAATGCAAAGTTGCTCTCTTATTTTAGTTCTCCTAATGAAATATTCTTGTTTATGTATGCATTGGATGGATTGCTCATGCTGATGTCATAGCTGAGCACACTTATCAGTTATCAATAGTTTGCCATGCTGCTCTGTCTGAGCATACTGTAAATTATTTATTTCAGGTGCTAGCTGTAACTTCAGTGATATTTTCTATATCTGGCATGATACTTCCTCAATAGTAATTATTTTTCTGGACAAAAATCACAACAGCTCTTGCCTCATTAATTTTCTGTTACCTGGACTTTCCATCATCTGCAATTTTTTCTTGTTTTGGTGGAACATCATGGGTGGGGGAATTATTGAACTTAAAACTGAACTAAACCTTATTCACTCTTTGGCCATCTGAACTGTTAATTTGCTCGTTCTATCTTTCTTTTTTTCTTTTTCCTTGAATAATTTAATATGCTTCTCATACTAGTTAGTGTGGATGCTGAATCTTCATGTCTATTAGTTAAGCACGTATAGTTAAGACACTGATGGTCCATTTGGTGTACAACAGCTTAGATCATTTTTGAAATGCAAAACTGTGCCTTTCTGCTGTGAGATTAATAACTTGCAATTATGTAGTTAGATTTCATGAGTGAGTTACAACTGGCCATGTAGGTTAGTTTGACTTTTAATGTGTTTTTCACCTGCTTCCCTTTCTGCTTCCCTTTCAGAAGATATAGCTAATGGTTGAATTATCCATTAAAGATTTTAATATTTATGGTAAGGTTTACTACCTACGATTACAACCTCATAATAACCCTATTTTTTTCTCACTCATAGCTGAGCACACTTATCAGTTATCAATAGTTTGCCATGCTGCTCTGTCTGAGCATACTGTTAATTATTTATTTCAGGTGCTAGCTGTAACTTCAGTGATATTTTCTATATCTGGCATGATACTTCCTCAATAGTAATTATTTTTCTGAACAAAAATCACAACAGCTCTTGCCTCATTCAGCTCTTTGCCTCATTTAACTTTTCTGAACCTGGACTTTTCCCATTTCATCTGCAATTTTTTTTCTTGTTTTGGTGGAAAACATTCATGGGTGGCGCGGAAATTATCTTTAACTTAAACCTGAAACTAAACCTTATTCACATCTTGGCCATCTGAACTTGTTGATCTTGCTCTGTTCTATCTTTGATACTTCCTCAATAGTAATTATTTTTCTGAACAAAAATCACAACAGCTCTTGCCTCATTAATTTTCTGTTACCTGGACTTTCCATCATCTGCAATTTTTTTCTTGTTTTGGTGGAACATCATGGGTGGGGGAATTATTGAACTTAAAACTGAACTAAACCTTATTCACTCTTTGGCCATCTGAACTGTTGATTTGCTCGTTCTATCTTTCTTTTTTTCTTTTTCCTTGAATAATTTAATATGCTTCTCATTCTAGTTAGTGTGGATGCTGAATCTTCTATCAATTGTTTCTTTATGATTATCCATCACAAATATGCCTATACTGTTGCAGATGATTGAGAGTAGTGCCCATGGTGACGAGTATGATGGAGTGATCTTTTCTCAACTTGTATGTACATTAAATTCATTTTTTGGTAAATAAAATATTTTTGTAAGATCTAAAGCTCAGGTACTAACTTTTGTCTCTTTTATTAGAATTTGATTGATTTAGCTGGATCTGAGAGTTCAAAAACTGAAACAACTGGACTGCGGAGAAAGGAGGGATCTTACATAAATAAAAGTCTCCTAACTCTTGGAACTGTATGTACCTGGACCAATATATGCAATAGTATGCTATGTTTTTCCTTTTATCAATGTTTGCTTCCATCTGACCACATATATCATTATAAGCTTTACCCCTTCCCCACGAAAGCTTTCATATAAATACTGTATAATGAAAAATCTGCTTTTGATTTGAGTTTTTCTTATATGGAATCAAGAATACTGGAGCCATTGAGGGCCAAGGAATTTTAGTCTCTCTATCATTAGTGAATTAGTAAACAATATTCATCCTTGAGTGCTGAAACTTGAAGTGAATTATTATATTTTCATGTAAATAATGGTTTTACTTTTTATCATACATAAGGTACATGTTGGAATTTATATATCCATTAGCATTTTGAGATTTTTATTAACCTTTTTTATTCTAAATATGAAGGTAATTGGAAAGCTGAGTGAAGGGAAAGCATCTCATGTTCCTTATCGAGATTCCAAACTTACCCGTCTTCTGCAGTCTTCTTTGAGTGGGCATGGACATGTTTCAGTAAGTTCAAAATAGAACAATGGTTAATGATTGCGTTATGCAAGCACAATGTATTAATTAGACTTTTGCTTTTTTGTCAAGGATCATATAAACATATTTCATGTCACATGTGATTTAAGCGAGTGGTACTTGCATCCCTACAATTTGGATTGCATTTTCATTTATCATGTTCTTCTATTGAAGTACACAAAATAAATTCTATTTTTTTGTATTTTCTACTTTCATTTCTGTTTTGGTTTCTAACCATGGTTAGAAGTTTTATAATATACAATCTGATGTTTTTTTCCTATAAATTATTTTACAGCTTATTTGTACAGTTACTCCTGCATCTAGTAATATGGAGGAAACACACAACACATTGAAGTTTGCTAGCAGGGCGAAGAGAGTTGAAATCTATGCTTCACGTAATAAAGTATGCTGTAATCTTGGAAGTTATGGTTTTTCAACTGTAATGTACAATAATTAACACTTGCGCTGATACTGATACTGGTTTTGAAAATTGCTTTCAGATTATTGATGAAAAATCTCTAATTAAAAAGTATCAAAGGGAAATATCAATCCTCAAGCAGGAACTTGATCAACTAAAGCAGGGGATAATAGTTGGTGTCAATCAGGAGGAGATTCTGACCTTAAGACAAAAGGTTTTTAGATTTTTTCACCTTTGAATATTATTGATCTTGTTTTTCTTTTCAGTTTCTTTATATGGTTGCATGATTTTTTACAAGTAGTTACTTATTGTTCTTTGGCATAGTTGGAAGAAGGTCAAGTGAAGATGCAGTCAAGATTGGAGGAAGAAGAAGAAGCCAAGGCTGCTCTTATGAGTCGGATCCAGAGGTTAACCAAGCTCATACTTGTTTCTACGAAGAATGTGATTCCTGGATATATGGGTGACATTCCCAGTCATCAGCGGAGTCATTCTTTTGGTGAAGATGATGTGAGTTATTCTCCTTCTCTTGGGTAAACAAAAGCCAGACCTGTGGATTTTTGCTACTTTAATCATAAGAGGGGATTAAGAGGTTTACTTGTGAGTCATATATCTGTTTTTCTTAGTCAAGTCACCAGATCACTAGGTTTGAGCTGATAACATTCTTTGCTGCCCCCATGTCAACATATATGAAAACTGTTAAATTGTAAATTTTGGAAATCTTAGAGCTTTCTTGTTGTTGTTGACATGATGTACTAGTATTTGTAAATGCTTAGTTGCTTAGTGAAGCTGGATGATGTCCAGTGTGTAGAATTTTTTCACCATATCCCTTTGCGACTTTCCCTGCATTTATTACTTGGTGGGTCTATTTCGTTCCTGTAAACTTTCTCTTTAGTGGTTAAGGATTTTCCTGTCTAGTTATTTTTTTTTTTTTCCAAATCTTGCTTTTGAGTTTCAAAATGAATATATAATGCTACTTTATTCTTTCACTTTCTTTTTTGTTAGAAACTGGAAGTTTTGAGAGAGGGTGCTTTACTCCTAGAAAATGAGAATCAGAAGGACAGCTTGTCTTCTGCTTCTGTGGTTTCATCGGATGCATCTCATGAATTTAAACACAAGAGATCTTCCAGCAAGTGGAATGAAGAACTCTCTCCTGTTAGCAGTACAATTACTGAATCAACTCAAGTGGGTGAACTTGTAACTTCTACAAAACTACCTGCAGTATGTTTTATTAATTATCTTCTTACATATTTTTGTAGTATTTTATTCTAAGTAATATTCCAGTGTAATTGCCATAGTGATGACTTAATGCTGATATTAGGGCAGATGCACCAACCAATGCATTTCTTATTGTGTCTAGAAATAAGGAATGTCTTATAACAATTTTGACATGCAAAACTTTTCAAATGGGAAGTTTAGCTCTCCCTTTTTAAATAAAATTGTACTTGGTCTTATGGCCTTATTTTGAGTTCCATTCAATTTTTCTCCTTTAAATTTTTTGGAGTCTGTACTTGGACTGCAGATTTGTGAAAAGAAACATTTCAGGATGGTTAAGGGACAGATTGTCTGAATCTTCAATTTGTTAGTCTATCTTTTCAATTTCTTTATAATTGAGAGTATGTCCTATGAGGTAATATAATTAAAAATGTCAAATGAGGTATCTTGGATCATTTTTGAATCAGAATACAAAATCTCTCTCAGCCACCTCCGCTTGAATTTTGCATTTGGGAAAAGTCTCCCCTGTTTACTGCTATCACCTTCATTTATCATATCAGAAGCTACTAGTCCTTTTTATGCTTAAAATCTTTAGCATATTAGTGGTAGTTGCCGCGGCGTGCTATAGTTTTTTTTTTTATTATTATTAATTTTTATTTCATCTATTATGCTGCTGGAATTCAATCTGCCTCTAGGAGACTGACCCCAGTGTCGTCATATTTTTGCATTTGTGGTAAACTTTGAAGCTTGCTGTAAATTTTATTGCAGGGTGCATTGACACAAGATCAGATGGACCTTCTCGTTGAGCAGGTAAAGATGCTTGCTGGAGAGATTGCATTCAGCACTAGTACCCTTAAGCGGTTGGTGGAGCAGTCTGTGAATGATCCGGGTAGCTCAAAAACTCAAGTATGCCTTTCTTTCTGTATTATAAACTTTATTGCTTGTTGATATTACTTTGAAGGGATAGGCATCTATATGGTGAATATATTGCTCGGAGCCAATGAGGTTGAACTACTCTTGTTTGAGCTGTATCAAAGGATAAAATGCGCAATAAGTTACTCTGTAACATTTATGTAATATGCCAATTTTAGCTGATTATAAATTCTAATATTTTATTAGCGTGGCAAAAGACAGAAAAGTTATCATTCTAAGCTTCAATTTATATGGTTATTATTCCAAATAATGCGGTTGAAGTTTATTGAATGCAGCTCTACGTGGTTTGTTTTTGTTCCATTTTTTCGTGTCAGAAATGTAGTCAGTTAAACGAAACTGGCTTTATTCTCTCTCTCTCTCTCTCTCTCTCTCTTTTAGTTATCCCTTGAAAATATCTCATTCTTTAAAATACTACTAGATTCCTTATCTTAGTTTACAAGACATACAAATAGAATTTTCACTGTCTGGCAATGTTTTATATTTAAGTGTCCATAATGTTGTAACAGTATAAATTCGAGTATTCAAGAGGCTACATTTATTTTTAGAGAAATCTCTAATGTATATAGGTGCATGCTTTCTTAATGACAGATCCAGAACTTGGAACGTGAGATCCAGGAGAAAAGGAGACAAATGAGAGTTTTAGAGCAGCACATTATTGAGAGTGGTGAGGCTTCAATTTCTAATGCATCAATTGTTGATATGCAACAGGTAGTATCATTTTCCTTCTTCCTCATTTACAGTTTTCTCCTTTAGTATTGTTTATTTTGTTTGTGTCCATTTATTCAAATATAGTTGCTGATTTCTTTTAATGGCATTTCTGTCAACAGTCAGTTATGAGATTAATGACTCAATGTAATGAGAAGGCTTTTGAGCTGGAGGTGCGTATTTTGCAACAGGAATAAAGTTTTTGAAGCATTTTGAGCATTGATAGCTATGCTGAGGTCCATTTGAGGCTCATTTATATGCCAACATTGTCATATATATATCATCATGCTACTTTAGACTGGAAACTGGCACTTATGTGATGTTAGGAAAAGAGTAATATGATTTCCTTAATGAAAATTTCTCTGTACATTAATGTTTAAGTGCTTGATAGATAGTCTAGCTCCTTGATTCTCTTTCCTAACAACTCTCAACTTTAGCATATACTAAGCTTGCAGAGAGATTCTAAAGATAGGTAACTTCTTTAGAATATTTCTGATTCAAGCTCTTGAGCATCTCATCTAACCATTTTTTTAGTCTTTTCCTTGGACCTTTTCATGGATGCTATGTCCTATGCTTCTCTGTTTTCACTGATCCTTATGTATATTTTGCATAGTTCTATTTATTTAACTTAAAAAGATTTTGGCAATCAATGCAGTTAAAGACAGCAGACAACCGTATCCTCCAGGAACAACTGCAGAATAAGGTTAAAAAGCCATTCTCTATACTTCTTGCCTCCTTATTTGATTCTCTTTGGTCTATTTTAAGGGTACTGCCAATTTAGCTGAAGCTAAATACCTCCTTTTGAGGATGCTTCGTGCCTCTTCTTTAACCGTGGATGTCATTCTTATTTAGCTAAGTTATGGTTTTTTCATGTTGTTGCTTGTTGTTAGTGTACTGAGAACAAGGAGTTGCAAGAAAAAATAGATCTACTGGAACAGAAGTTGGCTTCAGTCTCTAAAGATAAACCATCACTGGATTCTGAACATGTTGTGCCGGAAGAATATGTCGGTGAATTAAAAAAGAAAGTTCAATCGCAGGTGCTTACTACTTTCAATTGGTTATGGCCAATTTTTTTTTTATTAAATTAAGGGAGTTTTTTTTTTTTTTTTTTTTTTTTTTTTTGTTGGCCTTTGTTTGTTAGTGTACTTGCAGGAACAAGGAGTTGCTAAGAAAAAAATAGACGTTACTGAACAGAAGTTGGCTTCAGTCTCTAAAGATAACCATTTCACTGGATTCTGGAACATGTTGTGCGGAAGAATAGTGTGGTGAATTAAAGAAAGAAAGTTCCAATCGCAGGTTGTTACTACTGTTCAAGTCTGGTTATGGCCAATTTTTTTTTTATATTTAAATTTAAGGGAGTTTTTTTTTTTTTTTTTTTTTTTTTTGTTTTAATTTTAAGGGAGTTATATATGTGTATGAGAACTTGTTTTTTTTTTTTTTTTTTTTTTTTTTTTTTTAATTAAATTAAGGGAGTTTATATGTTGATGAACTGTTCTGCCCATGGGAAACAAAAGATCCGTTTTACTAGAATTGTATGTTGAAAAACACAAGTGAAAAATTGATCCGAGTGAACAATTGTTCTAGTTATTTCACCAAGAATTTAGAGTTCGGACAACCTAAATGACTTGCATAGATGTTTTTGCTTATATGAGCAGGAGTTTGAGAATGAAAGGCTAAAGATAGAACAGATACAGCTTTCAGAGGAGAACAGTGGGTTACGTGTGCAAAATCAGAAACTGGCTGAAGAAGCTTCTTATGCAAAGGAACTGGCATCTGCTGCTGCAGTTGAGCTAAAGAACTTGGCTGGTGAAGTGACTAAGCTTTCATTACAGAATGCAAAATTAGAAAAGGAAATGTTGGCTGCTCGAGAGTCCATGCATTCTAGAGGTGCTGGCATGCAAACCATTAATGGTGTTAACCGCAAGTATAGTGATGGCACGAGATCAGGAAGAAGGGGACGGTTCTCTGGCAGAGCAAATGAAATTTCTGGAGTGCACCCTGATGACTTCGACTCTTGGAGCCTTGATCCAGAAGATTTGAAGATGGAGTTGCAGGTGAGGAAACAAAGGGAGGCAGCTCTTGAGGCCACTTTAGCTGAAAAAGAGTTTATAGAAGAGGAATATAGGAAAAAGGCTGACGAGGCAAAGAAAAGGGAGGAGGCTCTGGAAAATGATTTGGCAAATATGTGGGTGCTTGTTGCTAAGTTAAAGAAAGAAGGGGGAGCTATTCCTGATGTGAATACCGATGAGAGACAAAGTGATGGAATAGATTTAAGTGAACCAAAATATAGTGGGGATGATCAAAATACTGTCCTGAAAGAAAGACAAATTTCAGATCCATCAAAACCACCCGATGAAAATCCAAAGGAGGAGCCCCTAGTTGTTCGATTGAAGGTAATGCTGAATCATTTAGATGTTTTTGGTTGATTTCTCTATTTGCTATTCTATTGTATTTGCTGTTTTCAGATAATTTCTTTATTCTATTTAAAAATAAACTTGAAGTGCGTTTCGAATAACATCACATATTTAAGGAGCTTAATGCAAATTTAAGAGCAAATAACGAAAATGTGAACTTGCAGTTTTCTTCAATAACCATTTCTCAGTAATGCTTGCTGATACGATTTTGTGTCTGTCAAAGCCTTCAATTTAAAATATTTTGCTGGACAATTTATTGTTTGCGGAGCACTTTCCTTCATCATTTCTTTCTCTGCTTGAGAAATTCCCCTGATGCCATGTTATTTTGGTCCCACCTCTAGTCTGTGCAGCATGTAAGAAGGTAACATCTTGATGTTCATGTACTTTTTCCTGTGTGGCTTGCTGATTAAAAGCCCCTTTAACTCTTTAACAGGTTGTTTATCATGTTTGCTAAATTCTTACTAGAAATGTAGTGTTATGAAGCTTTTTGAGTTTTTTTTGTAAAGATTATGAGTCTTATGTTTAAATTAAGATTTGGATATTATTACTTTTTGTTTAATCCTTGGCTGGTGCTGATTATCCGGCCACAAAGTGGTATGTAGCGTGTATTTATTGAATTGTTCAGATGATCATAATCTCATAACTTATGGAGGTAATCACTTGGATAGGTGATTAAAAATTACATATGCATTTTTCTTCTTTCAGGCACGAATGCAAGAGATGAAGGAAAAGGAACTAAAAAACTTGGGTAATGGAGATGCCAATTCACACATGTGTAAAGTATGTTTTGAATCACCGACAGCTGCAATTCTTCTCCCTTGCCGACATTTTTGTTGTAAGCCAGTTTCTTCCAGTTGAATCCTAGCTATTCTTTGCCTTTTTTATCTATAAGTGTAACTATTTTTGCTTTATGCTTGCAGTGTGTAAATCTTGTTCATTGGCTTGTTCAGAGTGTCCAATTTGTCGCACAAAGATTGCAGATAGGCTTTTCGCGTTTCCTTCTTGACCCTGCAGTTTATGCCCTCCAAATGAGGTTGTAAGACTCCTATTTTTCTATATCTTATGTGCTAACAGGTTAACCTACTGGACTAACATAGTATGCTCATTGCTTTCTGCTAATTGCTAAACAAGTCAGTAACATTTTTTTTCTGGGTAGAGATTTTGAGAATAAGTAAAATGAAGTAGAGATGCATATAGTATTTGAACTTATTACATTCTGTACTATCAGATAGAGGTAGGTAGAAATCAGTTCAACATTATTGCAGAGCTCACTATTGACTTGATTAGAAAACTTGAGGCTTTACTCCAGCTTGATTAAGTTTTAGTTTCCATGCTTCGGACTAAAGCTCAAATGAAAATTTGAAATACTTGATTTCAACTCAGCTCAACTCGATTACTTTAGACTATAAAAATAAAATTATTTATTAATATTCACATAAAACTTGAATAAATTCAAGAAAGGCCAAACTTGAGCTTGAATCAATGAATCAATTTTTAAGTGACTTATGATATAAAATGTATTTAGAATTATATAAAAATAAAGCATTTGAGCTTGCAAGCTATTTTGAGTGAGATATATGACACTGGAACTCTAGTGACTCAACTAGAATTGAACTGATTTTGAATATAGTTAGTGAGTATGAATAGCTTGATCATAAGATATACACTTAAACATAGTACTTATATTGGTCCCTTGTGTGTTATATATTAGAAAGATTGAAATATTTTCTTATAATGGGTGCATAAACTGACACTTAACTTCTTGTTTCCCCTACTTTTTTTTATTTCAGGGTTCATCCACATTGTCCTTTCCGCAATATTCAATGCAATAGCGGGTGCAATTCTTTTATTAGTTTGATGTATGTAATTTGTGTAAAAGGTATATCAGTATATTGTTTTCGTTCTTTTTCCTTCAAGGCTGTAAAATAAAGTTGTGATTAAAGGTTAACCCAAAAAAAAGGAAAAAAAAAATCTGTACATTTCGAAGTACAGATTGAGATATTGCATTGTTTTGAAACATGCAGCAAAATGCTGTGATCTGCAGAGTACTGTGATCTGTTTCAATATATGTATAGAAACAATGTATGCTTCTGTGAGAAGCATTTTTCCCCTTTGTATCCGAGAAATACTAGCTCTGTGATTCTCCGGATCTTTTCTTTTGTTACCTTTTTTGGTTCTCGATTGTAGTTTGCTTATTAGAGAATCAAATTTCTAAAATTGTTGAATGATGTTAGGACCATAGCTAATGCTATAAGCCGAGCCAGATTGATAACTGCTGAGCTGAAGTTAAGTTCACTAAAGGTATACTGAGGCTTGATTTCGGCCTATTTGCAATTTATAGGTTTTTTTTTTTAAATTTTTTCCCCCTCTTTTAAAGCTTAAATTTGAGCTTTTAGATTGCCTTGTTTACTAAACAAACTTCACGAGTAGGGTTGTTAAACTTATTGCATGATGTTCGAATTTTGCTTTTTCCCTATTGGAGTCTTGACTAATTCATGAGTTGATTGTCTCATTTATACATAGGTATAACAATTTGGGTAAATGGTAACATTAATAATAGATTAAAAGCTTCAATTGACCTTTGTTCTAGTAAACTTGATTGGAGAAGGTTTTTTAGTATGATATTTGTAGGACTTACAGTTGTTAACATTTTTTTCTGAAAAACGCTCTATTGAACAATAACCAAAAGCAAAAGGTAGATAAAAGGTTTCTTCAATAATCAATGGTATTTTTGGAGTTCGGAGGTGTAATAAATAGTTTATTATTATTGTTATTATTTATTGAGAGATTTGATAGGAGGTAGCTATACAATATGAGGTAGCATTCTTCACTCACCAAGAAGGTAGCTCTCTTCAACTCAACAAGACGGTAGCTCTCTTTGACACACCAAATAGATTAATCAGATTACATTTAATAGCTATGATTTACATAATATTGAGTTTGAAAAGCTCAAGATTTAGAATCTAATTTCAACTTAATTGGTTTTTAATAACATTGAACTTGAATTTTAAAAAATTATTAGATTATTATTTAAATTAAAATATGTATTAAATATGCTATAATTTAAATACTTGATTAGGTTTGTGAACCACATGAATTAAAGTGATGTTTGATGGGGAGTAAGTAGACCATACCAGGGAAGTGTATAAAATATTTGTGTTTGGTTAACATTATTAATTTTATTTCTAGAAAAGTAGATTATCCAATTTCTCTTATACAAGATAAGTAAAATGCTATAGAAGTTGCACTTTTCTAGTTAAGTATAATAAAATTTACCAATTTGTTCTATTATCTAAACACACTTAAATTTATATTATGAACATTATTGCCTTTTGTAATTTAAAAGCAATATACTTTTCAGAAAGTTGATTTTTATGCCAAACACATTTAATTATATTTTCTAAAAAATAATTTTCAAAAAAAATTGATTTTTATGCCAAACACATTCCATTATATTTTCTAAAAAATAATTTTCTTGGAAGTATATCTTTTCAATAAGTATATTTTTCATGAAATAGTTTTAAACCAAACCATAGTCAAAAGCCTGGTAATGCTTGAATTTGAATGAAGCCACTGAACTTGCTACTCGGTGACTCGAGTTTAAGCTTAATTCAATTAAAAAGGAGTCCTTAACAGTAGAATAATCCTTAAGATGATTCAAAAATATAGAATAACCATTTAACATCAAACAATTACTGTAATCACATGCTAATGTCTTTTTTTTTTTAACATTTACACTGAGGATGAACAAAACAAAGTGACAGAAGATGCAAAAACTTTTTATATTTGATTCCCATTTTAAATTATTAAAATAACTATTGAACTGGACGAAAATAAGAAAAAAAATATCCTACTATATATAACTAAGTCCATGAAAATATCCTAATTAAAAAAAGTCCATGTAAATATCCCAATTAAGGTTAAAAAAAGGAGAACACCTTTCATTAACAGAAAAAACAATAATTTGAACAAAAAGAAAAAAAGGGACAGTGAGTAGTACACCATTTGATATGAAATGAAAAAAACTCCACTTAGTTGCGCGTTGACTATAGATATTGAAGAACACGTGGGTATGTTCTTCTTCTTCTTCTTCTACAGGATCTTATTGCCTTGATTTCTTGAAAGGTCTACTGCCAATTTCAGGAACTGTAAAAATATCCTCAATTGTCCAGTTCCTGTTAACTATTCCATTACTTTTTGCTTCTTTACTCTCCTTTAGTCCTACAGTTAGTTCTTCTGGTACCCAAAAGCCGATATAATCTTCTGGTGAAAAATAACTCATTTGACGACTTTGATGAAGATCTTGATGAATTTTCATCGTCATTACCGTTGAAACCGAATCACTGTCAGAATTAGTCTGCATCAAATTAATAATAATTCGCACAGTGTTCATCAATTGTTTCAACCATAACACCCTAACCAAACAAAAGAAGATAGATAAGATATTAATGCTAAAAAGATATTTTTTTTTTCTCTTTTTAAATATTTTAGTCAGTAACCGTTAATATTATATTGTATTATATTACATTTTATAAGGGAATATCAAACTTGGGTAGCCCAATATATTTAACAAATCTTAATGTGATATAATATAAAATATTATATTATATTATATTATTATATTAAAAATGTAATGCAAATAATTAGTTGATTAAAAAATGTATTTAATTATTTTTAAAATTTTTACTTAAAAAAAAGTGTATATCACGTTTGTTAAGTATTTTTTTTTTATTAAAAATGTCTAATCTTGCAGATGTTCTCCGCTAGAATTAAAATTAGAGATTGACTTGTCTAAACACGGTCTAAAAATCTAGTCGTGGATCAAATTAATTAAAAATAATTTTTTCAATATTTCGAACTATTACTAAAAAAACAGGATAATTTGAAAATTATCTATTTTTATTAGTTCTCAAAGACCAGGTTGACAAGTCTAATCCTTAAAACTAAGTTTTTAGAGTGTAGTATTAATACAAACCTTAGAAAAACTGTCTGTGGCGGCTTCAACTGAAGGATCAAGAAAATCATCGAGGCGCCATCCAGGAATTGTCTCTAAGTACTCAGAAATACTACTTGTTGAAATTGAAATATTATCATCAACGTTATTGTTATAAGGGATTGATGTTGATGATGCTCTTTCAACAGTAGGAGGACTAAAGATTTCACCAGAAAAGGTTGGACTGTGATTATTATTACGCAGATATGGCCATTGAGGGCTTTTCATGTTTGTTTCACAACCGCTATTGGCTGAAGCAGGAGAAGAAGGAGATGGGTATAAAGAACAAGAAGTAGAGATTTTAACTCCTGTTAGAAGAAATCTATTATGTTTTTTTGTATGTTCATTTGCTTCATGTATTGGAATGTCACATTCTCTGCAAAGAATCGCTCTATCTTCTTGACAAAACAAGAAAGCTCTTCTTTCCTGCAACAAATAAAAATTAGTTCAGTAATAAATAAAATATAAAAAAACCCCAAGAATCAGGAAAATATATTTATATGATAATTTCCAAGATCCAGATTTTTATTTTCTTGATAATAAAGAGGGAGATAGAATGATTTGTACCTGACAAATATCACAAAGAGGAGATTGTTTAGAGGAAGGACGAACGAGAGAGAAGCGCATATGTTTACTGGCAAGCTTATTTGCATGGTGAACATGGCGGTCACAGCCATCGCAAAGAGCAGCTTCATCTGCAGAACAAAAAATAGAAGCCTCTGCTTTGTCGCAAACATCACAACTAATCTTCATCAGTTTTTTCTTCTTATTATTATTATTCTTGGCTGGATTTAAACTGAACATGGCTATATATATATTATAATATACATGTAGAGAGAGAGTGGGATACTGACAAAGATGTTATGGAAGTATGGGCAATAGGGTCTAATGGATAAACAGCTAAGCTTGAAGGATCTTGATTGCATCTGACTTTAAAGAGAAAGCTCTGGAATGGTAGATATGGATGCTATTAGATTTTCTTTTCTTTTTCTCTCTTTATTGAGTAAAGAAGAGGAAGAGCAAGTTGTGGGATTTTATATATATAAGAGGAGATTGTTTAGAGGAGGACGAACGAAGAGGTAGAAGCGCATTATGTTTACTGGCAAGCTTATTTGCATGGTGAAAACATTGGCGGTCACAGGCCATGGGCGCAAAGAGTCAGCTTCATCTCAGAACAAAAAAATATGAAGCCTGTCTTTGTTCGCAACATCACAACTAATCTTCATTTTTCAGTTGTTTTTTCTTCTTATTGAGGGTGGATTATTTTTTCTATGGCCTGGATATTAAACTGAAAACATGGCTATATATATAAAGGTGGGAATATTACATTGTTAGAGGAAGAGGAGTGGTGATAATTTCTGACAGAAGGGATGGGTGTATGGAAGGTATGGGCAGGATAGGGGTTCTAGATGGATACACAGCTGAAGCTTTGAAGGAAATCCTTGATTGCATCACTGACATTTAAAAGAGAGAAAGCACTGGAAATAGAGTAGATAATGAGGATGCTATTAGAATTTTTTCTTTTCTCTATTCTCAAAATCTTTTATTGGAGTAAAGAAGAGGAAGAAGCAGTTGTGGGGAATTTTATATATATAATAGTAGGTAATATAAAGTATAGTCATATATACCCTATATAAAATTTCATATAATCTATAAAAATAGACGTTTTGTTTTTCTTTTTTTCGTTTGGTTTTAAGGAATTGATATATATATAATCTATAAAAATAGAGTTTGTTTTTTTTTTTCGTTTGGTTTTAAGGAATTGACTTACCTAAATTAAGTCTATGGTCCATTTACAACTAATGAAAAATATATATTTTTAAAATGAAGATATTTTTATTATTCACTATAATTAAAAAGATAGAATAAAAATAATTTTTAAAAAATCTCTATTTTAATTGATTTGGATTATAAGTTTATATATTTTAATTGGCAAGTCTAATATGTTTTAAATTATACATTAATTTTCTCTTTGAAAACAATTAATTTCCTACCTCTAGTTAGTATGACTTATTATCATACAACTTTTCCCATTCATTTATTTATTATAAATTGTTTTAAATTTAAAATGAAGTTAGCACATGCTAACTTCAATTTGTTTCGCCTCATTTAAATAAGACAACGAGTAATTCATTTAAAGTTCAAATTGTATTTATCCTCTTGTCTGGTGTTCCTAGCAATCTAGGGATTTTGGGAAATTGTAATATAAGGTGTAATGAAGCAATTGTAAAAAGAGAAGTTGTTTTATATTTTTAGATAATGTATTTATCATGATAATATCTATTAATTACATCCCATCATGATAATGTATTAAATTAAATTAAAATTTAATTAAAATATAAATAACCCAAGCCATACAATAAGAAATACTTAATTTCTTGGATGAGGTTACGTTGATTTTCCATTACATTTGGTGTACAATTTTTATACTCAAGTAGATAAAGTACTTTATAATTGATGAGCTCCAGTTCCGTCTAAATGAAGAATTTTTATTTTTATTATCGCAATTTTTTATTTTGTAGTTTTTTGGTATGTCTTTGAAACGACCCGAAAATTTAATTTCGAAGAATTTTCATTTAAAAACTAAATTTTTTATTTCAACCAATGAAATTATACCAGCTAGTATTTTATTATTGCAATATCTAAAGTTTTTTATTTGAACCCAGATGAAATTAAGCCACTAGGTAGAATGTTTATTGATTGCGTGAAACTGGAGGGCGGCCGTAAACCCAATTTTTCTTGATTTTCTTCAAAAAACCAAGCCGAAAAACTCAGAAAACCAAACAAATTGAGCCAAATCATAGTTAGAACCAACCGGTTCGAATACGAAAAAAATATAATAATAATTATAAAATTTTACAGTATTTGATTTAGAAAAACTATAGAATGAGAACAAGATTTGATTATATTGAGATATTTGGTTAGAAAAATATTTATTATTTTTTATTTGATTATTTATTTTAATTATATTTAATGTAGATCAAATATTTAATTACTTTTTAATCATATTTGATTTATATCAAACAATTTGTTTTTGAACATTTTGTATTTTTAGTGCAAGCTCAAGAGGTAAATAGTACAAACAGTTAATTTTCGGCAAATTGCATATTGCGGCCAAGTTGATGGAGTAAATCCAGCCTTATTTCATATTTCTTCTTGGTATAACTTTTCAATTTGAATGTCAAAAAAAAAAAAAAAAAATCAATTTGTGCCTAGTCCTGTTTACATAAAAAATCTTATCAATATCGCAACTTTACAATCTGATGAAAAATTTTGACAATAACCTTATTTTGCTCAAATGCAAAAGAACCCAAAAATAAAAAATAAAAATAAAAATAAAAAACAAATGATATTTGCTTCTAATATATAAAGTTAATTACGTTATTGACAATATAGTGCTGAGATAAAATCGTTGCTTTTCATTATTGCTTTTCATTATTGCTTTTAAAAATAAATTCTTTTTTCAGTACATACCAACAAGAAAAAGAACTTGATCCTACAAAAAATAAAAAAATAAAAAAGAATACTCGGGTAAGGCGTACTTGAAATAGCAGTGCAAGAGACCCAAGATTTGAAACCCCAAGTCCCTTTCCCGCTTTAATGTTTAAACTATTCTTATTACAAAATAGCAGTGCACACATATTCCAATTACACAGTTTAAAATTTAAAATTAAAAAAGAATACCCATAAACAAGTGCAGATGTTGAAATGGTGCCCCTCTTTCATGATCTAGCGCTACTGTGTAACACCAATTTTTTGTAGAGCACAAATGGAAAAAAAAAAAAAAAAAAAATGAGCTGCAGACTGAAATTTTTAAAAGTATGTGTAGGCTAATGTATTTGCTGCATATTCTATATAATAAATTAGAGCAATTTTAAAATGGCAGCAGCTATTTCTCATTATTTCTATAAACCATTGCTTGATATGGATTATAGGATGTTAAGAATCTAAGTTTTGATGGGAAATGAGTGAAATTTGTTGTTTTGATGGGAAATGAGTGAAATTTGTGTATATATGTATAAGTCTAAGTTAAGGAGAACCTATTGCATTTGGTGGGGAGTAGCTATTGCAGGTAATCGTTGCCATTTTTATATGAACTAACCTAGAAATGGATATATTCTCAATATTTCTGTGATGGATACCATTGGTTAATGCTCTATAGCTTCAATCTTGTTAGGTAACGATTCGATGGTAAACATAATTTACTATAATCTAGAAATTGTATTTTTCGTGGCAAGATGAAGGAAATTTAGGAAGCTTTAGTTATACGTTCAAGTTGTGAGTTGGGTTACCTAATAGAAGGATTTATGAAATTGTAATTTAATTGAAGCATTGGTTCTTAGTAGCTAGTTTAGAATTTTAGTAAATGTTTAAAGATGTTGTTTATACCTTAACTTAAGCAAGGATGATGAAATAAGGTTTAATAAAGGAGTATTTATATATTAAAAGCTTAACTAGACTTTTTAATGGTATATAACTTCTGTTCTATATGTATATGTAATGAAGATTCTTCATTTATTTGTCAATTAGCTAAAGAAGCTGATATATAATTTATGTGAGCAAAGAATGTTCAATAATATATATTGGGGATATGTTTGAAGGTATTATAAGTTGTGAATTAAATAGTTTGAATGTTGACATTATTATTTGGATGGAGGAAAGGAATTTAACTGTTGTTTGATCCCCACGCATGGGCTGTGTGCATTGATTGATTAATATATAATATCATTGTGATATTTAAAACAGGGTAGATCAGTCCTATTTTTAGGGGGAGAGATGCTATGCCTAAATTTTGATAGAAATTAGACTAAAAATTATTAATTAACAACATACATTAATAAGTTTATTTAGATTAGTTCTATAATTTGGTAACACTTAATAAATATAGTGCTCTGGTTGTTTAATAATCTTTATTATTCACACTTAACTATTTACCATACTTCATTTATTTATTTTATTATTGTTGGTTAATTGCTAATACTATTTATTTATTATATTATTTGCATTGAATTTTGAGATGTTTAATTGTGCATTGCATTTTACGATGTCTAATTTGAATAAATATGTTGAATTTTGAATTTGCAATGTTTGAACTTTATTTTGTTGTTGTAGATATTGCTGTTGCTTTGTTTGTGTGGAATTGGGATGAAGTGGGTCACCATGGGTTTGTGAGACTGTTTCTGTTTTTATACGGATCCTGATTCTTGACTTTTTCTGTTATATGGATCCTGATTGTGTTTTGTTAGCGGCGTAAAATGGGAGATCGGCGCCCCCGTGTGCAACCTACTGTTACCGTTTACTGTTAACCACAGAGTTGGCCATTCTTATTGGGCGCCACCGGCTAATCTAGATTTTGTCGCAGCCCGCAGGGTGCCTCCTGTTGTGAGGCCTGATGATCTATGATTTGATGGAGACGACCGGGTTTGCCTCCTGTGTTCATGGAAAAAGAAAGAGAGAATGCGAAGAAAAAATGAGAGGACTGGTCAAGTAGAGGATTTAGGACCGGTCGGCCAGTATGGGGGAATCGGCTCCCTGGTGCACATTGTGAGAGGATGAGCCATGCGGATTGAGGACGGTCATCGGGGGTTCCCGGTGGACTCCATCTGACTAAATTCCACGTGATGTATTATATGAAGATTGTTAATACTAGTCTTAGTTAACAATATAAAGTAATAGGTTTATTTAGAATAATTCTATAACTTAATACATAGTAAATAAAGTATTCTAATTATTTTACTATCATCACTATTTACTTTATATTGTTAACTATTATTATTCATTAATAAACTCACATCTCTTTTGTTCAAATCTTTCAGGAAGTAGCATTTTCTAAATCCTAGCTATAACTCTGCTCTTTGCCCTTAAAAAAGAAATTCGCTAATTTTAGTATTGATCAATTAAATAGATAAATGTCCGAAGACTTATATGTATACATCCGTCAGTAAACTCCGCAGTTATAGTTATAGAATTTGCTATACTTTTTTCAAGTTCTGTTATTATATAGAGGAATA